TCCTAAAAAGGTTTGTGTTTATGAATTAGTAGAATATAATAAGCTAATCATCAGAAGGTGCAAAACACTGGGAGGAGGGTATTCAAATTTATTCCTGACAATTTATTCAATAACATTTAGAAATGATTGCAGGCATAGTTTCTTTGTCTAAATTTATATCAGGTGCAAACTTTACGAGGCACAGTTGTATATTTGGACTTTCAGAAATAAAAAAGGTAGATTTATAATCTATGCAGCAATGTCATTTCGGAGGTATTTTAAATTCCAGTACACCATCACTGCCACACTTAATGTTTTTCTTCATCTGGATGTACTGCACTACAGGCTTTTTTCCCCCTTCAATTAAAGAAAGCAAGTGAACAATGATGTTTTATACATGTGCAGATAACAGAAATGATAACAGGCTAATTTTGCTGGGTTTTGGCATCAGTAAAAAAAACGATTTTCTAATGTTATATGACATTTCGCATTTGTACATTTAACTTTAATTATTTTTATATATTTTTTTTTTCTCTTTTTTCACAGCACTTAGAAAAAGGCAACCTATGTAACTCCATCAATATTTTTTATAAATATTTATCCTTATCACCTCCAACTACAGGGCGCAAACCTTCATGTTTTATGAAGCCTCTCAAACTGCCAGCAGAACATGCAATCAGCTCATTTTAAAAGGGAATCATTTTGTGCAGCAATCATTAAAGAACAGCCACAACACACCTACTTATTGCATCCACAGGAAAAAAAGGATTTACTGCCCTTTACTCTGAATTATTGAAAATCAGGCCTTTAGAGTTTGAAGGAGGCTTCCTTAATGGCGGCTCTTGAGGTCGGGTCTAATGCACCTTCTAGATGTGTCTCTTCTTCCAGAGCTTCATCAAACAGCTGAATGACCTGATTAGCATGCAGTGAAGTTCTGTAGAGAACAGCTAATGTCTTGAGTTGTGGAAGCCTGGTTTAAAAGATGAGACTTCAGTCCTGTTGACAGCAGATTCAATTAAATGAAACAGGGTTTGGTCATTGTTGTAGCATCGGCCAGCGAAACCATTTAGGTGGAGAAAGGGTCCCAGCGTTCTCACGCACCTCGCTATGCTAGCTGCTCCATCTTCACCAGTCGTTTTCTACAATGGCGGTCAGACAAACCAAACAAGGAACCAAACAGAAAATACGGATAGTGTAGAGCGGATGGAGATTTGACCAATCAGAGGCCTCCTGTTTGCTGTCATTTATAAATTTGGAGAGGTGCAGCAGAGTGTCCGCGGAAGGGGCGGGGCTTATCTGCGTTCACTGCGACACACACAGACCACCTGCTTTTTGAGCATAAACCAGCCTTTACTCTCCATGGCTGATGCACGGGCATGCAGTGGCCATAAAGGAATGCCAGGGATAAACTTTACTTACTTACATTATTAAACAGTCGGGGTGTTTTTTGTTAACATGTAGAAAAAAATGTTGGAAAAATGTGCGCTGGAACGGCTCCTTAAAAAATAAGCACAGGACTCAGCTCTATAGAATTAAAGGTTGTGAACTTGGTTTGATTCAACGCAGAAAATGATCAGAGCTCCAGATTAACTTTTATTCTTCTTTAAAAATAAAGTCGCTGCTCTGCGATTTCATCAGAACATGTCGGTCAGAAATCACAGCAGTGAGGCTGAACCTCATTCTGATCCTCATCAAGACATCTGGAACCGGACCCAAACAAAACAAGCTGTCTGAGAACTGATGTAGCTGCTAACCTCAGCGGCTGTCTGATACTGGGAGGTCGCGGCAGGAAGACACGGTTTATATGTCAGTGAGTTACTGAGGTACCGTAGAGAGGAAAGACGACAGCCTGTTTGGATGGAACGGTCGGTTCTGGAGTCTGCCTGGATAGCAGTTATACAACCTGCTGATGTATGATCATACAGGTCCAGTTCAGTTGGAGCGTAATCAGACCAAAGGCAGCAGGAGGAGGAGGAAGGCAATAGAACAGCTTTTTAATTCTCAGCCAGTGAGAACAGACAGTAAAACACAGCTGGACATTAAACCTCCAACCAAAACACAATCATCTAAACCTGTGAAGTCCATGAAATCTGAACAGATTAATGCAAAGACAAACCAGCTCTTCTTCACATCTTAACACCGTTCAAAAGTTTTGGCCTCGTTTTAAATAATATAATGGCTTAAATAAAGAATCTTCCTCGTTTTTCATTTTCAGGGTTTTACACAATAAACAGGATTATTTGCTGCAAAGTTTAAAACCTTGAGCAAAGAAACACATACATAGAACTTCACAACGTCGTTATGTAATAAACAGATAAGGCCAACATGGGATATATGATGGAAAATATCAGACAGGAGCTGCTGCTAATCAGATGAACTGATTAAATGATCTTCATTAGGAGGCATCCTGCTGAGAGAAAGATTATTCTGACGAGCAGAACTTCTCAGATAGCTGCTGGTCTTCCAGGAGTGGACGTCCCAGATTCGGTCCAAAGTAAGAGAAATGAGCCAAAACCTGAGAGCTTCATGTCATGCTCCCCCTGTTAGCAGGTTAAAGGTCATGGTCCTGGACCAGTTTGTCTGGTTAGAAGGGTTGGATGAGAAGGCCTGCCTTAGCAACGCGGCACCTGGATGAACGATGAGGCTTCTGGGTCAAGATGATGACAGATGGAGCCACATTATTTCACAGATAATCGGATTTAAATGCTCGGACTGGACCATCAGGCAGCTGGTGGGAAACAAACAGTAAAGCTGCAAGGATACATAAAATAAAGTGAATAAATAAAGTTCCTCAGCTGTACAACATCTGGGTTCATAGTGCTTTGGTGACTAACAGCAGCTGGGCAATGAGGATAAACTGTCTGCTGAGTGGAGGCAGCTTTATAGAAACAACAGAACTATGACAACTAAGTGTTTCTGATAAAGCTGACATGATAGTTTGGTGTGAATAGAGAGACCTCACAGTGCTGTGGTCACCTGAACCAGGCCTGCAGATCCGTCTGCAAAGAACTGATATGAAGCGCTTCCATTACCAAGTTCCTTTCTTTAAAGTCATAGGGAAATAATATTTAAA